CCTGGTGCCACATGTCGAAGTATTCTTGAGCAAGATACCGAACCCCAAATCGCTCCCGATGCCGTGAATGTGTATGAATGCATTAGTTTCTGTTCGATGGGCTTTGAGTGGTCGTAAGACTAGAAAGGCGCTATACAAGTACAGGTCCATTTACCATTTACCATCTGTTCTCCTATTTTTGCACTGTGTAACTTTGGTCTCTGGGTCAGAACAAGTGTGTTTTAAAGTTTTAAAGCTTTAAAGTCAAACACCACCAACTCTATCAGTGATTTTGGTGAAACTAGATCGTATTTTATGTGGAAAATATTTTCTGGTTTTGCCTCTGATGTCCTCTAGTTTCTCTCCAGTGTCTGTGATTTACAGAGTTTGCCAAATGGAGCTGCTGTTAACTAGTTAGCTTAGCTGTAATGCCTTGGAAACCCAAGACTGTGTGCTCAGAGCACCAGAGGAGTGTTGGTGTTTACACTGATAGCACCGGAGGCTTGGCCCTCCCAGAGGGGGAAGTTTAGGGGAGACCAGCACTTATGTTGTACATTCTTTATAAATATGTATGTATATATAACTTACTTCGAACAGTCTCAGGATGTTGGCCACCATGATGGACACGGAGCTAGCCGACGCTCCGATCACTCCCACCACCCGCTCTGGTTTCCGGATGATGGGTGGCTCTCCGTTAGAGCAGCGAATGTCAGATGTGTCTTTCTGGATCAGCGCCTGGACGAAGGTGAGTGACTGTTCCAGTGCGTAGGTGTCTCTGGAGCAGGTATCAAGGATGCGGGCCCCCAGCGTGATGTTGGGAAGCAGCTCAGGGTCACTGTTGATCTGGTCCAGTGCATACAACATGGCCTCCATACGGTGGATCCCTTTCTCCTTCTTCAGCTCTCCGCAGGGAAGACCGTGGGGGCCACGGGAGTGGATGGGGAACAGCCCCCCCAGAGTGATGTCACCAGGTATCTTTATGGAGTGGGGGTGAAACTGCTGATGGGAGGCACTCACCTGAACCGCCTGTACACCAATCCAGAGCCAGACATACAGCAGGAGGCGGGGCCACAGCGAGGACTGACGGGGTGTTGGTCCAATCAAAAGCGAGGCGTGATGATGATGATGATGATGATGATGATGATGATGGTGATAGTGGAGGGGTAGGGTGGAAGGGTCGGGGCCTGATGGTGTCATACTGAGGTGACGTTCAGGTGAGAGTGTTCATTCTGCTGTGGACACCTATGGAGAAAGGTCAGTGGAGAGTTTGAGTTCAGTGACATCACATCAGGGAGAGCAGCTGATTGGCTCGAACAGAGAAACATTAAATAGTATAGCATTTGACGTAGTCTTTTTATTTATAATTTATAGATATAGTTTATATCTACTATATATATAATATATATATAATTTATAATTTATGTATATAGAAAATGATTATGTGGGAAGACCATTAAAT